CCTCTGACTCCCACTGTTTCTGTCCAGCCTCCAGACTCCTTTGTTCTCACTGGTTCTGTGCAGTCCCTGTTTTCAGTTCAGTTTGTTGGTTCTCGTCATTATTACTATTGTTGTTCTCTGTTCTGTTATCATGGACTTTGCACTTCAGAGTGTTTTTGGGCTTTAAAGTTTTGACTGTTGGAAAATATCCTTCATGCTGCATGGGGCAAGGATTTTCACAAAGTTGGACCTGTGCAACTTGCCATTTTGTCTGGAATTGGGAGGGTGATCAATTTTTCCCCAAGGGGTACTTTGAGCATTTTGAGGAGGATTTTTGAGATAGAACTGCCAAATATTCAGTTTCACTGGTGTTGCTTCAGACAATTTGATTTCACTCTCTTGCTTCTTGCTTTCTTGGTCCGTTCAAGAAAGGTCCACGAACCGGGGACTTGAACTTGGGACGTCCGAAGTGCAACGATGTTATATGTCGGCGCCAACAGAATGGTATCCAAACCCCTCTATGGTGTGTCAAGCTTTGCACATTGGGATTTGGCGATTTCTTTCATTCTTCTTTCCAGATCCTCTCAAGCTCTGTCAGGTTTGATGGGAACTATTGGTGGACAGCCATTTTTTAGGTCTCTAATGAGATATCTGATTGGGTTCAAGTGCGGGACTCTCAAGGAGTTGTCCCTACACCACTCTTACTTCATCTTGGCTGTGAGTTTAGTATGTTCTGCTAGAAGGTGAACCTGATGACATGAGTTCTCTGGATCAGGTATTCATTAACAATATCTCTGTATTTTGCTGCATTTTTATTTTCTCCTACCCTGACCAGTCTCCCTGTCGCTGAAACACACCTCTGCCACAACCATGCTTCACAACTGGGATGGTATTGCGCAGGTGATTAGCTGTGCCTGGTTTGCCAACAAACATGACACTTGGAATTGAGGTTCATCGCACTGGAGAATCTTGTCTTTCCCAGTCAAGCTGGCTTACACGTGTCATACACTGAAGAGAGGCTCTGTTTGGTCACTGCCATAAAGCCCAGATCAGTGGATGGTTGTCTTTCTGTTTTTCCCATCTCCACACAACCCAACCAGAGTGACCATCAGGTTCTTGCTCACCTCTCTTACCGAGGAGGAAGGGCTTCTTCCCAGATTTCTCAGTTCATCCGACCAACTCTAGGAAGAGTCTTGGTTGTTCCAAATGTCTTCCATTTAAGGATTACAGAGGCCACTGTGCTCTTGGAAGCATTCAGTTTGCAACAGAATTTTTAGTAGTTCCTGTATCTGAGCATCGTGTGGCTTGGTTTTTGCTCTGATCATATGAACTGACACAGCTGGGCTCCGAATCAAAGCGTAGAAACATCTCAAAAGTGATCCAGAGAAACGGTAAGCACCTCAGTTAAATTTGAAGCGTCATAGCAAAGGGTCTGATTACTTATATCAGTGCGATATCTCACTTTTCTTTATTATTTGTAATACAAATTATTACAAATCTTTTTTATTCTTGAAAGTGTAGATTAATGTAAAAAACTAAATTAGCAGTTTAGTATATGGCTACAACATAATAGTGTAAAAAATATGAATGCACTCAATGCACAGCTTCAATGAGAAAGACTTATATTCAGAAAACAGACCATTCTGTCTCTGCTTTATTATTTCATTAGTCATTTAGCAAGGTTAAGTGTCTAGTCAAACACTATTCTCACGGATAACAATATAATTGGATAACGTCTGTTAATGTTTCCCTGCTGTGGATGTGGTAGCGCCCACAGTCTCCATCTGATTCATTGGCGACTCTATAAATTGATTGAAAATTTGCTTAGTGAGATGTCAGTCAGCATAATCGGATAGATCCAGTCAGTGTAGTTCTCCAGTAAACAACTCGTGCAATGTTGCAGTTGCTGATCTTCTGTTGCAGACTCAAGTCTTTAGTTGGGAGTTTACTATAATGGCACTGGTCCCCCTCTGTTAAAACTACTTTTCAGGGAAGATGGTGCAAACTGCCTTATTTAACGCACCTGATTCAGATCATCAGCTCATTAGGAAAGACTCCATGTATGGCTGCATCTGAAAGCTTAGGCAGCTGACTTGATGTACCTCCTGGAGCTGTTTCTGGACAGACTTCTCAGGCAGCATAACGGTTTAATGATCTACAACAAAATATAGAGAGCTTTGGTGATAACTAAGTGAGTGTTTAATTACTACAACACTAATTTCTTGCTAGAAATGACATCAAAAGTGGAAAAAGTTGGTCAAAAACATAAATTTACACACAAACTGCCCATCAACCGCAACATGATGGAACAAATGAGTTGTGACTGTAATCATAAAACACTGTTTTGGTTTTAATCATGTTTTTGTTGTGAAAGCTGATGTGTGATATGTGACACCAGCTCTGTTAGAAACGAGACTATTCTATTGCAACAAACTGGGCGAAAAGTAGGTGAAGTGAAGAAGAAAAAAGGGGTTTAAAAGAGGAAGGTAAATGAGTCATAATAGTCTTATATTTACTGCTGCCTGTCCTAAAAAGTTACATTGAACTCACAAGGGTGTCGGTGGATATATGATACATGCTGATTCACACAGGCAAGATCTCGCTGCAGAAAGAAACGCATGTTTTGTGAGAAAGAATGCTTTGGAAAGAATTCCGATCCGGCTGTCAGGTGTGCTGAAGTCTTTAGAAAGCCGGCTGGGAGAACCGGATTGTTGGAGCGGCATTAGATAAGCCTTCTAGGCACCAATAACTTTCGACATGAAAAACCCGTCTGGCTGCTTTCCTGCTCTACGATTTCAAATACATGTATATAAACAAATGCCCTCTTTTAGATGAAAGTCCTACAACATTTTCAAAATATCCTTCTAGGCCACAGATGTTTTACATTCTAAAAGTTATAGAAAGTACAGAAAATGGGACAGGAATTTTGTGAAATAGCGCCCACAGTCTCCATCTGATTCATTGGCGACTCTATAAATTGATTGAAAATTTGCTTAGTGAGATGTCAGTCAGCATAATCGGATAGATCCAGTCAGTGTAGTTCTCCAGTAAACAACTCGTGCAATGTTGCAGTTGCTGATCTTCTGTTGCAGACTCAAGTCTTTAGTTGGGAGTTTACTATAATGGCACTGGTCCCCCTCTGTTAAAACTACTTTTCAGGGAAGATGGTGCAAACTGCCTTATTTAACGCACCTGATTCAGATCATCAGCTCATTAGGAAAGACTCCATGTATGGCTGCATCTGAAAGCTTAGGCAGCTGACTTGATGTACCTCCTGGAGCTGTTTCTGGACAGACTTCTCAGGCAGCATAACGGTTTAATGATCTACAACAAAATATAGAGAGCTTTGGTGATAACTAAGTGAGTGTTTAATTACTACAACACTAATTTCTTGCTAGAAATGACATCAAAAGTGGAAAAAGTTGGTCAAAAACATAAATTTACACACAAACTGCCCATCAACCGCAACATGATGGAACAAATGAGTTGTGACTGTAATCATAAAACACTGTTTTGGTTTTAATCATGTTTTTGTTGTGAAAGCTGATGTGTGATATGTGACACCAGCTCTGTTAGAAACGAGACTATTCTATTGCAACAAACTGGGCGAAAAGTAGGTGAAGTGAAGAAGAAAAAAGGGGTTTAAAAGAGGAAGGTAAATGAGTCATAATAGTCTTATATTTACTGCTGCCTGTCCTAAAAAGTTACATTGAACTCACAAGGGTGTCTGTGGATATATGATACATGCTGATTCACACAGGCAAGATCTCGCTGCAGAAAGAAACGCATGTCTTGTGAGAAAGAATGCTTTGGAAAGAATTCCGATCCGGCTGTCAGGTGTGCTGAAGTCTTTAGAAAGCCGGCTGGGAGAACCGGATTGTTGGAGCGGCATTAGATAAGCCTTCTAGGCACCAATAACTTTCGACATGAAAAACCCGTCTGGCTGCTTTCCTGCTCTACGATTTCAAATACATGTATATAAACAAATGCCCTCTTTTAGATGAAAGTCCTACAACATTTTCAAAATATCCTTCTAGGCCACAGATGTTTTACATTCTAAAAGTTATAGAAAGTACAGAAAATGGGACAGGAATTTTGTGAAATTTATTAAAAAAAAACTATTTTACATATTTGAAAAGTGTCACTCTACACTACTTGCCATTGTGTTGTTAGTTTTGACCACATCGCAGGGACAGTTAACAATACAGAAACGTCATTTAAAGCATGTGGCATCAAGATAACCAAACACAAATTAAGAACAAAAAAAATAGTTTTGGTAACAAGTCATAATTCCATAAGGCCAAAGGAAATCCAAAATCTGTGGAATTGATTTAAACGTGTGATCAACTGAGCTGTGAGAACTGCATTCTTCATAGGTATTTAACAAAACAAATACAGTGCCTATAAATTTGTGAATGACGCTTGTTCCAGATCTGCAGGGCACAGATTGTATGCGAACATTTGTGTGCATGCAGTTCTATATCAGCAGCAGTGACTAAAGAAATGATGGAAGACAGTCCCATCACCACCAGGATCAACAGTTTAAAATGGGCTCCGTTGACAGCCTACTGATTTTAAGTGCAGCAATCTGTATTAAAAAATAAACATGTAGAGCAGTCACATTGCATAGGTGATTACAAAACCTCCAGAATATAAAAATTCAGTATGCAATAATAAAAAACAACTTTTAATTTGCACTGTGCAAACAATATCTCAGTCTGATCATGGACTCCTAATATGGAGTCAGAATCATGATTTCCTTATTATCAACCAGTGATGACGAGGACATTAATCGCAAAGTAGTTGGGAATCCATCCAAATCCTTGCATACAAAATCCCACGACGGGGCAGGAATCCACCCAGACAGCAACATAGTTTTGGCTTGAACATGAACATGCTTGAACATGGCTTTTGACAACTCCTCATTTCGCCTGGCTTGTTTGTTCCCGAGTAGAAAATAACCAAGAGTTTTCAAGCCAATAATCACACAACGGGTCAATAAAAACGTATTTCCTTCGTCGTTAGTTCATGAGGGCCACTGTGCTCTCCGGTTGCCCTCGGACCAGCTCAGAGAAGAACTCCAGCGCCAGCCGCACGTGGATAGGCACAAACACACAGGAGGTGTAAATGACCATGGCCACCATAGTGAAGAGGAGCGTGTTGAAGATGGACTGCTCCCACGGCTCCAGCACATAGATGCCTGTGATGAGCAGGTACTGATAGTACAGCCAGCCCATAAACTCTCTCATGTTCTTCATATCCATGCGGAGGACCGACACAGCCGCGCTACGAGCTGCTGGGGAAGACAACAGGGTGAGGTGCTTCCTTGCATACTGACAGAGCACGATAGACACAACCACAACAGATGTGTAATAATGGTGCTTAGGAGTGGTATATGTCTTTAAAGGACCTGTCAAACAATGCCACATGAAGTTATGACGTGAGTGAGTGACTCTGCAGCATTCAGATGGCTTGTGTATTCCATTATTTATTTTTAGGGCTATGTTAGTTACTACTGATAACAGTTTCATCATGTGAAACTAAATAAACATTAATGATACACACTGACGTCCTAGAAGTAACTGGACAGTCAGTAGCTGTTTCCATCACTGCATTTTGAAGTATCGCATCAGAAACGAGTGATGGAAACATCAAATTTTGAATAAAAATCCCTTAATTCGTTTTCAAGTGGTTTTAAGCTTATTTCTGTATAATGTTTTACACGACTGCGTTCCCAAATAGCACCATCTGCCTCCGAAAGCAATGACTGCATTTACTGTGTTTCATCTGCTTGCTCTGAGGTGCAAGTCATTTATTATATATGAAAATTATTATATTCAGAAACTTCTACTTTTCTTAGTGATATTTAGTGCCAGTTTATCAGGAGGTGATGATTTTGTTCTCCTTGACTCGTTGGATGGATTTTTGCAAATGTTTTATGCAATATTCCAATTTTGTGCACAAGTTAAATTCGCAACTTTGGATGGAAACCCAGCTAGTGAGAACGAAATCTAAGTCTTTTAGTGAGTGTTGTGGTAATATTACATTACTGCTAGTTTATTTTTCCCCAGCAGTATAAGCACATCAGGGACCGTATCTGACCTTTGTAAGGCAAACTGTGCATGAAGAGAGTGCTGGGATGAAACGACCCGTGTTTAAATGTGCTAATTGTTGATGTGAAGCTCAAGGGCCATGTGTAAAGCCCTGCAGGAGCGATCTACATCTTAGGTGCAGCACATGCATACAGGTGCAAAACCCTGCAGGAACACGTCTGCTCGCTCTCTGAGAACTCTTGAGGAAAACATTTACACTCCTGCACATAAAATTCAGACTAATACAACAACTGGGTTGCATATTTGGACTTAAAATGGCATTATTATTATGGTAAATTATTAATCACATAAGGTTATATAGTTTGGCTATACTGTCTCGCTGCATAAAGTGAATATAGGTAGTTTACAAATAATTATTTTATTTATTTTAAACTCAGTTTCAGTCATATTCAACCCTATTTCTGATTTAAATAAAACTGGTAAACTGAGATATTAGCACATCAGGTTGTCCAGTAAATCATTTTACAGAGCTGTATTAAGTATCCATGCAGCTGTATGTAATAAGTTTCTGTGGCGTGAAGTCAAGATGACTCAAAGAAAGCATGAACAAAACTGATTATACATAACAACGGACATCAGGCAGCAATGTCAGCTGTCAAGTCATAATTCCATATCCAGGCAACAGTAGAAACATTAAACATATTTCACCTGGATCCTTTTGTTGCACTGGTTGTTAATATTACAGACTTTTTTGATGCACTATATAACATCCTCAAGTAGAGGATACCGATGTGAATGTGCACATGCATGATAACAGTTCAAATGTGCACGAGAGAGAACTATTCATAATGTTTCCTTGTACTCCGTTATGACTGCACTTAGCAGTTAGTAATAGTAAGTTGCGTAGTTGTAGTGTTGTTATGGCCATTACAGTTATGGTTGATATTCATGGTCAAAAGCAGCATGCATCAGAGAAACATTGCGGTAATGTGATGAGAGTCCTGTAAAGTCACTCACCTCCGCGGGTCACGCTGCAGTGAAGAGTGGATGTGATGTGAGTGTGTAGTAAGCTGTTAACCAGTTAAACACACACACCACTCCCACTTCTCCCATTCACTCTCTCCTCTGTGTGTGTGTGTGTGTGTGTGTGCGTGCAAAGGACTAGAATGGCAAAAGAAAAGATCAAATGTATTTTAAAGCTCCTTGTGTTTTTTTTCCCCCAACATGCACACATCTCTCTCTCTCTCTCTCTCTCTCTCTCTGTCTCTCTCTCTCTCAATTCAATTTAAATTTTAAGAGTGCTTTATTGTCATGACAAAAATTATACATTTGTATTGCCAAAGCAATTGCAGCTGGACTGCTCACAAATAGTACACATGTATTAACAGAAAGAAAAATAATAATAATAATATATAAAAAGTATTAAACATGTAGTGCAAAATTAATTACTAATGTATAAGTATATAAACTAGAAATAAAAATAAAATAAGGGATTAGACATTTACAGAAGCAAAATATAGATCTAAGTAATATAATAGAGTAATCTGGCCTAATATAATGTAGCTGTGCTGGAAACATCAGATCAGGGCAGGCTGAGTGTGTTCTCTTCTGTGGTGACAGGCAGACACATATTGAGCAGCAAACACACAGCAGTTCTTCTGTTCTCCTAACAGATACGACACTTTCTCCTGGTCTGAGAGAGTTTGAAATGTCTGATGGATCTGCTGTATTTTCTCATAGAACACTGTCCGTATATCTGTGTATTTGGGGCATTCTGTTATCTCAAATTCAAATTCAAATGAGCTTTATTGGCATGACTTGCACAGTATTGCCAAAGCATTGTCCATTACACGAATAAACAATTACATAAACAAAACAACAATAGGTATGTAAAATAATTAAGTAAATAAGTACATGTACTTTTTTTTTTTCCACAAACAAGAAAAATATTAAAGACATTGT